TATTTCATATATGGTTGCCATGTGACCTCACTTCAATACCGGTAACCACTATGTGGATTATCTCCAGCATGGCCCGCGACGCAAAACGAGACTATTGTACCTGATTCAAGAGCTTTACTTCTCTATTATGCATGTGGAGGTATCCACGCGGGTGCGTACATGCAGGTATGGGTCACACTCTGGGTCATGGTTTTGGACTCTGACTCGATCATGGTATTATCGAGGTATACCAGGGTTGACTGACTTCGTGTTGGGTTAAAAAAGAGCCTGACTACGATGTGGTAAGAGAAGGATCCCTTTTGGCATCCTCTTCATACAGACTCGATTGCTAGTTTGACTTCGTCTGACTGCAGTAATCGAGCTGCTGTCGTGCAGGTTAAGATGCTGACATGTAGAACCCTTAAGCCATACGAACCTGGCAACAATGTGCTACAAGGCGAGTGTTACACTTATTTCCATCTATATAAAATGTATTCACCCTATTTCGTTTAAGGCGATGAAAAATGGATATGTAGGAAAACTAGGTTTCGAAGAATCCCTTAATAGATTGATGTTGGAGAGGCGAGTGGAAGAGATTCGTAAGTTGGTTCCACTGGAGGCTGTAGAGGGGTTGCATTTGAGCTGTGGTTGTAAATGCTTAAGTGGACCAAATTGGGCTAAAAGAAGTAAGTAGATCTGAAGCCGGCCACCTTTCTTGCTCTAGTGTTTTTGGTGAATTATCGTTAAGCATGGTGTCCTGCTCTGATGATGTCCTTCACATGACGGACGAAAGCTCAGCAAGGATTTATCGGGGTCGCAGGGCGGTGCGTCGAGGACCTGTTCGCACAAATCTACAACCACAGCTCCAATGCAACCCACCACAGCCTCAGGTGGAACCAGCTTACGAATCCCTTCCATTCGCCTCATCAAGCGAAATGAATGGTATTCCAACATGAAAGTTTGATGGTTAACTTGTCCTAAAATGATATGGATAGGTCTCACTATTTTAGTGAATTTTACATAGTCTTGTTTTCTATAGGCATTCTTATCCAAGCTAGACTGTACTGTAGTTTCGATCTCTCTTAGGTCACATCAGCATCCCCATGGGGACTCGAACTCATGAAATGGTTAACGTGTCGAGACTCTACGCAGAACTACCTGGATTATAGTCCCGCTGGGGCTGAGGCTGGGGATGAGACCTAGGCAAGGTCCAAGCTACAGCCCACTACAGTCTGGATAAGAATAGCTTTCTGGAAGCAAGGTTATTTGAACTTTAATGGAAACATGGGGCCTACTCATTTGATTGTTGGAAAAATCAACTACCAGCCCTTCATCACCTTAAACGAAATTGCTTGAAAACAGCTCTTATACTAGTAGTTTTGAAACCCTACTTAAACGTTAAATCTTATAAACCTAGTACAAATAAAATAAGTGGAACGTTCCGGTTGACACTGTCCCTGAAGGAATTTTCTTCGATTCCGATGAATCCGCGTTTAGATTTCGTCTGTCATATGACAAGTCATGGAAATACCCGTATATCCCTTATTTGAGGGATATATACTTCAAACCCAGGAATGTTTACTCGTAGCCATGACGACCAAGATGTGGGGCCTCTGCTTTGGTCTTCTTTCACTGCATATAAGTGTTTTAAGCTCGTAGATACGAAGAGAAACTTGGTTTCA